AGCAGAAGTAGCAGAAGTAGCAGAAGCAGCAGAAGTAGCAGAAGAAGAAGTAGCAGTAGTAGTAGTAGCTAGTGGGCAGCAGCCTTCAGAAAAATCGAGAACTGGCAGGTCGTCCGGGACCCTCGCTCGGAGTGGAAGCTTCCTTGGGCTTGGTGCCGCAGTGAGGCACTATGGATTTAGCGAGGACCCTCATGCTCTTGATTGACCCTGCCCTGTAAACAGGAAGACGGGGTTCTTGAAAAGGTGAGAGAATTCAGGGCCAGGTTATCAACGTTTCAGCTGATGCTGGAAGATCATGTTGCAGGCCACAAGAAAGCGTTGAGGATTTGTTGTGTCTTGGCATGCAGAATTCAGGCCAGATCACGCACGCGTGGGTAGACCATGCATTATTCCACTCCAGCACGAAAGCTCCAATGCCACCGACGTGCGAAGTTGAGGGACCTGAAAAGCCGAGACACTGAACGAAGCCGAGGAAGCATATGGAGGGCTCCCACGGAAACCTCGAGGAGGAACTTCAGAGGCTGTTGTTCATTGTGCTATGCATGATAATGCCTGCCTTGGCGCAGGCCATAGTATATAGGTTTCGAGAGTCGGCTCTGTTTTTCGGCAGCCTCGAGACAAGTAGCATCAGTGACATGAACCACTTGCAATCGTCCTTATCGCTTTGTGTCGGCCTGTATTTGCCGGGTCCCGTTTTTTGTTTTTGCTTTTGTCTGGCGCGGTGCGGGGGGCCTTGGTAGGTCTGGCCACCTGGTCCCCTGGTCCAAGCAAAGGAGGGAAGGAAGGAAGGAATAAATAAAGGAAGATAGGAAGGACGGAAAGGTGAGGAGTAACAGTCGTCGCCGTAGTTGAAGTAGTAGTCGAAAATATACATAGTTTATGTAGTGTATATATATATATATAGAGCCCGTCAATATGTATGTATGTATGTATATACACACACACATACATATATATATATATATATATATTATAGATACTATATATAAATAGAGCGTAGTATATACAGTATATACAGATTTCTGCAGTATATATATATATATGTATGTGAGAGAGAGGCATTAAGTATTTCATTTATTGGAATACCCGAAATAATTGAAATAATTGAAATAACTAAAACAGGCCGAATTAAATATTTCAATTATTTCAATTGTTTAAATGGGTGGTGAATCTCTCTATAGGCAATAGTACAGCCCAGCAATTAAGTATTCTTTTATTTTAACTGTTTAGGTATCCGAAATAATTAAAGAAGGATCCAGCCTTATTTCAATAATTGAAATAATTCAAATATAATTGGAATAATTGAAATAATTGAAGTAATTGAAATACTTAAATCAGGACGAATTAGTTATTTCAAATATATCAATTATTGGGATACCCGAAATAATTGAAAAAAATAAATCAGGCCGAATACAATATTTCAATTATTTCAGTCATTTCAATTCTTTAGATGGGTGGTAAATCTATCCATGGCATTAGTAAAGTCCAGCAATTAATTATTTCAATTATTTTAATTTTTTAGGTGTCCGAAATTACAGAAATAATTGATTGAATTAATTAATTCAATAAAAATTTGTGGCCAAGAAGGACCCAGACTTATTTAAATAATTGAAATAATTAGACCAGGACGAATTACGGTGACTATTTTTAAACATATGGAGGGCGGGCTCGGGCCACGAGACACGGAGGTAGTATCAAATATCTATTTAAATCTCCGCATGTCTAAATTAAATGCCTATACACACACATCCTGGTCACCGTCTTCCCCGACCACGCGAACGACATCGAGCTGCAGGACAAGGACCGGCCAGGGATTAGCCATGGGGGTTAAAAGTTAATGAAGTTGTCGAACGTTGTCCCGTCAGGCAAAATCGCCCTAACTGCCGCAGATAGGTTTTTAACCCTTACGAAGCATTATACGTCTCAATGAACGCATTGGTGCTCCTGGTACATAGAATCTGTCGTCTAGTGGTCTTTGCCATGGGCTCCAGAGTGAAGGTTGGCGGGCAAACGTTGGGTGCAATGCTCTGTGATGTCATTTCCTACTCAAACTAAGCAGATAGGATCGGACCAAATTTGCAGGCAAAATTTGGCTGCTGGCATTTCCTACCCGTGGCCAAGGACATGACAGCAGAGCGGATTGGACAACACTTTGCCAGACCTCTCACAGGCAATCGCCCGGCATGATCGCTTGGGCGCTCACCCGGAGGTGGAGGCACGCCCGCCTGCACATCGACTGGCTCCAGGCGGACACCCAGGCCCGGGCGGAGACCTTGGGCCCCCGCCACCCGGGAGCCGTCCTTGCTCGCCCGCACGGGCAAAATTTGGTCCAATCCTCTCTGCTGTCATTTCCGACCGGAACCAAGCATTGGACCAATTTTTTCCAGGCCACTCGCGGGCAAAATTTGGTCCAATCCTCTCTGCTGTCACTTCCTACCGGTAACCAAGGAAATGACGGCAGAGAGGATCGGACCAAATTTTGCCAGGACATTTGCGGGAAAAATTTGGTCCAATCCTCTCTGCTGGCATTTCCTACCGGTAGCCAAGGACGTGACAGCAGAGAGGATTGAACCAAATTTGGCCAGACGTCTCGCGGGTCAAATTTGGTCCAGCCCTCTCTGCTGTCATTTCCTACCGATAACCAAGGAAATGGCGGCAAAAAGGATCGGACCAAATTTTGCCAGGACATTCGCGGGCAAAATTTCGTCCGATCCTCTCTGCTGTCACTTCCTACCGGAATCAAGCAAATAGGATTGGACCAAATTTTGCCAGGCCGCTCGCGGGCAAAACTTGGCCCAATCCTCGCTGCCACCACTTCCTACCGGTATCCAAAGAAATGACGGCAGAGAGGATCGGACCAAATTTTGCCAGGACATTTGCGGGCAAAATTTGGTCCAATCCTCTCTGCTGTCACTTCCTACCGGGAACCAAGCAGAAGGATTGGACCAAGTTTTACCAGGCAGCCAAAGATGATAAAGATGACACGAATTTGATAAAGATAAATTCACAAAGATGACGCACATACGATTTTGCCGGGAACCCTGTCTTCTGTCATCTCCTTGGTTACCAGTAAGAAATGACGGCGGAGAGGATTGTATCAAATTTTGCCGACTAGCTGTTCCTATTGCTTTCTTGATGTAAGATCGTCGGCAAAATTTGGTCCACTTTTTCTCTGCTGTCATCTCCCTGGTTGCCGGTAGGAAATAATAGCGTGGACTGTCATTTCCTTGGTTACCGTTAGGAAATGACGGCGGAGAGGATTGGACCAAATTTTGCCGACCAGCTGTTCCCAGTGCTTTCTTGATGTTACCGATGGGAAATGACAGCAGAGAGGATTGGACCAAATTTTGCCAGGCAAGCAAAGATGATAAAGATGACGCAGATATGATAAAGATAATAAGCAAAGAAAGTTGAAGTTACACGTTGTTT